CCTGTCCCACGTAGGAGGGAAAAGTTCTTTTTTCTTAGGAGCCTTAAACCACATTGGAGCAACAAGAACACCAGAACAGAGGAAATGTTTACTGTGATATTTAAGGGCAAACGACTTCCAGATTCCGCAGTTCTTGAGGTTTCTCCTATTAAGTCTCATAGGACTTAGTGATCATCTCAAAACACTGAGCAACCATTATCAGATGGTGTCTTTATAACATCAAGCTATCCAAGACAAAGTTTTTTAACAGTAAAAATTCCTATAATAAACAAAATACTAAGTCCAGAATAGATCTGAACCAGGAAACAACACCTGAGGGGACAGTCAGCTGAAAGTATTAAAGAATCATGGGGTGTCAGTGGGCACTGCATTTAATCATTTGGCTTGTGCCCAGATTTTATCTAGTTCCATCAGTATCTATTTCGTCAGAGGTATTTTACCTAGGTACAACAAAAGCTATTAACAACAGAATAAACCCCACCTTGTTTAGCTAGGATATGGTCAAGAGCAATTCTATTGTCTAATAAACTTGTGCAAGGGAATTTAAAGGTTTTTCCCTTGTTGGGTACTGTTTTGGAGGTAGCTTCAGCAATTTCCTCTAAGGTTTTTGATAACTGTCTAATTACGTGTTTATTTATATATTATAATACCTGTCCTCAAAAAAGTATTTTTCTAAATCTAGTACTTTTACTGGGTTTGACGTCGCCAGGTAGTAAATACCCTTGACTGTGTGTAAGCAGTTACACATTTTGACCTGTAAACTAGGTTTAAAGATAATGCCTAACGTTATCTTCCCAGACAGAAATAAAAGCAAAAGGGAAATAATAATTATTATAGTGAGTGCTTGGCCTCTGGTATTATTTGTGAGATAGGAAGGAATTAAAGTAAGGAAAAAAGGGAAAATGAAGGTATAAATTATATAGGCCTAGTCCAGAATCTTGGGTTAGATGTCCACGACAGATGTTGTCTGCTTCATTTCCTAGTCATTTTAAATTTCAACTCTGTTGGCTGAGCAGTCTAATTAGGTTTCAGAGCTTTCTTTAAATGGGAAACATTAATCCAAGATATCTGAGAGCAGGAACCACGTGTCTACTCACCACTGTAATCTCAGTGCCCAGCACAGTATCTATAGATTTGTGTGAGGGAGGATGAGGGAGGGAGAGAAAAGCAAGGGAGAGATAGAGAAAAAAATCTGGAAAAGAGATTATCGGAGTGTAGAAGGTGTTATTTTGCAAACGTGTTTGTTTTATGTATATACATACATATACATGCATGTGTACTGTGATGATGGTGTAAAATATAATTTCCATTGTGGGTTATAATCCAAAATTTTGAAAACACTATATATACTACTAAATTCCAAAGCACACTTTACAACTCAGTCAGCTTCACTGCATTTATTCCAATGGTTAACTTTTATTTAACCTTGGTCTCCTTAACCCATTTCCCATTTAGAAAAAAAAAGTGCAGCTCACTGCCAGCGTTAATTTAAATTTACATAAACACAATTTCTGAGGCTGAAGCAAATCTGACTGGTTTTCAGTGTGAAAATAAAATATAAAAACTGTTCTTGGAGTTATTTCTAAACAGAACTTGTCTCTAATCCTAATATAACAGAAATGTATATGTAAATAGGATTCATCAAACAAATCCTTGGCTAACAACTGTTCAGAAATGATGTTAATATCATGCGTAGGAACACTACATTTTCTAGGATTTGACATGTTCAGCAATCGAAAATTACTACATTTTGTAAATGGAAATAAATACTACTACTCGAAACAGAATGCTGTAAATAAAATTACGTCATTTGTTTCCAAAGACTATCAATATACTAGAGTGATGCAAAAATAATAATAAAAGGGAGATATTTCATGGCAAACTTTGGCGGTAAGGTTAGGACTGTAATCTACAAGTTATCTCAGAGTAAATGCTGCAGCCACAAGTGCCCCCAGTGAGTATTCTCAGGGCAAACTTACTAGTTGACAACCAGTTGCCCTCTTGAATAATTACAATAAAATTAACAAAAACTTCAGAAGTTAGTCTGCAACTGGCATACCAAACATATTGGGGGGGGGGGGACCCTGAGCACATTAGAAATCAAAAGTAAAATTTTTTGAAATAACTAAAATAAATAAATTTAAGTATAGTTTTGTATATTAACAAGCCTTGTTGAATGCTACACTGAAAGATTCTAAAAAATCATCTGGATCAAATTATGTTCTCTTAGCTATAGTTAAACCACCTGGCCACAACCAAATCAACTACCTGCCTACCCACAGCGCTCATAATTATATTTTTAAATAATTACACTCATTCATTCTTGGAGCATTTAGTCACAGCAGGTCCAGTGTTACTTGTGGGCATAAAATCCCATCTTTGAAATGCACAGCCTAGTGGATAAAACAAATATCCAGTCAGTCAACCAGTATTTACTAAGCGCCTATAATTTTGAAATGACTTTACTGCTTTAACACAGGCAAGTGGATTCGACTAGACATGTTCCTACCTGTCTCAGATTGTTCTGTTAAAACTCCGTTTTGATCTTGTTTTTCCAACCTGATTAAACCCTTCCCCAAAGCGGAGGCTTGTCTCCTCTCATAATTTCACACAGCCAAGAAAAAGGCTGGCAAAAGGAGGTGCTTAGCAAGTCTAATGGGAATTAACTGTTGAGGAAGAATCCAAGTCCCTGGTTCTTCCGGGTCCCCATCTTGTCAGAAGATGTCTTGGCCACCCTAGTCAGATTTAGTATGTCTTCCCAAGACGGGTTAGGACAGTTAGTCACTGTCCCAAACTCTGGAACTACTCCTGGGACAAATGGCAACACGTGTCCAACAAAGGGCAAACTCCAGGAAGATGTCTGTGTCTGAGATCTGTTTTTTTTTTCACCCCACTTCTCATTCCACAAAATAAGATCTGGAAGCTGAAAGGTGCCCTTTTAGGGTACAGAGACCCTTTTTTTCTAACCCTCTACCCCGCTGCAGGGCCTAGAACAAGTCACCAACCTCACAGTTTTCAAATAAAACTCGTGTTGGCCATGGGTTCGAACCCTGACCTCACCATCAACTAACCGAGTGACTTCGCAATAGTCACTCAACCTCTCTCTGGGCTTCTTTTTTCCATCTGTGAAGTAGAGTTGATAATCACACCTCAGGGGCTCATGGGGAAAATACCGCCTGGGAAGTGCTCAGGAATTACTCGATGAAGGGGTAGTTCCTTTACTCTTTGGAAACGCGGCAGGATGACAAGGCGAAGGGGGCGCAGACTGAAGGCCAGGCCAGGGTGGGGGTGGGGATGGGAGGAGGACAGAAGGAAGCCAGCAGGCAGAGCAGGCTGACAAGGCGGGAAGCCGCGGCGGGCAGGGCGGGAAGCGGCAGAGGCGGGTGGGCGCGGTTAACTGCTCAGGCGGCGGCGGCCGCGTTCCCTTACCCGCTCCTCTCCACCCCGCCGTCCCTTCCCCTGCCTCTCACCTCGCTTGATCACATGCATCGCGGCTAAGGGCTGAGGCACTAAGGGATTCGCCACCAGGCTGCAGCACTGAGGCGCCGGCTGGATCGAGGTGCCTGGGTGCGCAGGTTTCGGGCTCCAGGGGCTGCTCAAGTGCAGCGAGTGGAGTTGGGTCGGAGAGCACTTTTCACCGCCGAGAAGAAGCGGGACAATCTGAAACCCGTTCCGGCTCCCGCCACCCGGGACGCAAAAGCGGTCCGACAGAGCACCAATGACGTTACTCAACGCCGCCAGCGCCCCAACGGGTGGGCAGGACTAGCATAGCGGAAAGTCGGATTCGCCCATTAGCGCTGTGCGGAGTATGGGCAGGGCCCGGGAGATCGCGCCTTTCGCGGCGGTGTTGGATGTGGGCATGCCCAACGGGAAGTCTGCTCTCCCGCGGCCATATTAAGTATGGGCAAGGTTCAGGAGACCACCCCTCTCCCACGGCCGCATTGAGTGTGAGCTAGCCGGGCAGGAACGCTGCTCTCTCGCCGCCATGTTGGGAGTGGGCAAAGCCAAAGCGGGGCCCTGGGCCGGATGTGGCTCGCTGAGCGGGCCAGACCCGGCCCCGCCCCCGCCCTTCTCGGCCGCTCGCCTCTGCAGAGGTCAAGACGGTTCATGTTTTCGAAGTAAGAACTAAAACCCAGCCATCCGAAACACTTTTTCTTGTCTTGCCAAGGTACATTATAATAACGTGAGACTGCGCTCCGATGTGGGTCTAGCCTGGGATCCATACGCAGAGGCAGCCGGAGCCCCAGGGCTCTTGGGTCAGCAGAAAGCCTAGCACTCAGGCGGGTTGGAAAAGAGCCTTGATAGTTCAAGGGCGTTTGTATTTTATCCTGACGGAAATGGGAGCCCTGGAAGTTTTGAGAAGGACAAGGCCAAAACTCACTTTCTTTTAGAGTTCTCCAGTGGATGGTGGCAGATATGATCAGCAATAAGGCCTTACGGAAGTAAAATACGGCTAGGTGACTGAATGTGGGGAGCAAGAATAAATGAGATGTAATACACGGCTAATGTTAGAAGCTTCCGATTTATGCTACACTGATTTTTATGAAATCCCATGTGGCATCCCCTCCCTAAGACTTTTTTTTTTTTTAAGGATAAAGTAAGTTCTTATTTATAGTCTTATGATAAAGGGGGAAGTCTTAACTTGCAAGACAATTCTTTGGCAGTATGTACCCCCCAGAGGCGGGCCAATCTCCCCGTGAATTTTAAAAGTCATAGGTCATAAGTGAAGTTATAGGATAGGTAGGTCAAGATGGCCCAGAGATAGTGTTGCCAGATTTACAAATAAAAATAATGTGTCCCAAGTATTGCATGGGACATAATTATACTAAAAAAGTTATTGTTTATCTGAAATTCAGATTTAATTAGGCATCCTGTATTTCGTGTGGTAACTCTTACCCAGAGAGCTTTTGCATATGTGTATTAGTTTCATTTTCCCAGTCTCTTCTTTATACTGTCTGCTGTGCCACAGAGAACACAATGAGAGTCAAAGCCAGCAAGGGTTAAAATCTCCTACATGCTTTATTGGACTTCAAATAGTCTTATGAAATAACACAGAAAAACCCATGTAAGGGTGTCCAGGGGGTACAAGGCAGTCTGCAGCCTAGCCCCACCTCCTAAGACCAACCCCAGGTGCCTCCACCCCAGGCCCAAGTAAAGGCATGTCAGGGAGTGGGGTAAAGGAAAAGTATTTTACAGCCATAGCAAAAAAGGGTAGAGAGTTGTCTAGAGGGTGGGAAGGGTGGGGGAAGTGGTCACACAGCCACCTTCACCTATACCATCTTCCTTAACCACCCCCTTCCCTGTTATGAGCCTCTGGCCCAGGCTATGCAATAACATAAAAACGGTCTGACAAGGGGTGTATGTGGTGCAGGCACTTGGGAAATTCAGGGGATTTTTTTTTTTTTTTTTTTTACAATTTTAAACTGTCTTTTGGTTCAAATGCAACAACATCCTGCCCAACAGCTCCAGGGTCCCATTAGAACCCTGTATGGTGACAGGCTCCCATGTCCAGGGGAGCAGAGTGTCCTAAGCTTCAAGAGTAATGATGCTTGGGGAGCATTTGGGCAGCACCTCTTATATAAAAACCCTCCTGCAGTGTGAGGGAACAGGGATAAGAGAGAGACAGGTATGGGAGAGGGAAGAGAGAAAAGGTGACTGCCTTGTAACCCACAACTCTGGCATCTACTCAGTTAACTAAGAGAATTCTCTCCAAATGTATCCCCTAGCCTGGCCTCTCTTTAAAACTCTTACGTGATTTGTTCTCATTCCCCCATGGACCCCCCTGGAGGCCTGAGTGGCTCCAGGCCAAGATTTCCTCTGGACCACCACACTCCCAAAGAACAAAGCTCAAATATTAGGCCCTAGGACCCAGTTTGGGACAAATGGAACTATCATCTATAGGTGGGGTGGAAAATATCTGAGGCACAGGTGTCAGAGGTTACTCCTCCCATCTTCCCCGGTAGCAGCTAGGGGAAGTTGGGGAGTGGTAGGAGGGAGGAGCCTGAAAGCAGAAGACAGAGAAAAAACAAGAAACCAAACCTCAAAACTGGGATAGCAGAGACAGAAGCTGGACCCCAAAGGTTGAGCTGGTAGCTGAGGGGACAGCAACTAAGACATGCACTGAAGTGGAGAGGGAGTGACAGCAGCAGCCCGTGGTTGGGAGGGAGGCAGGGCAGGCAGGCCATGGTGGTCAGTTAATAAATAATGTTGAAGGACCCAAGGATGAGGGGGGCAGGTATGTACAGTGCCCAGGCCACTGGGCAAACCCCTCCCATGCCCCACTCTAGGGCCCAGGTATCTTGAAAGGCAGGGAAAAGGAGGCAGAAGACCAGGGAAGGACAAGTTGTCCCACCACTGCCATCCTCATCCTGCCTACTTCTTAAGAGGCTTCTTAAAGATTTTGAGGGGAAACTTCTTCCGGCCTGGGCTGGAGTCTGTTTCCTCACCAATGGAGCCATTATCCTCCTCAGCCACGGCCTTCTTGCCAGCCAGGTGGGGAATGCGTGTATTTCGGCCGGCCTGTAGGACTCGGCTGTCCCCAACTGGAGATGGCGTGTCTGGGTCTGGGGAACTGGGGCTGTGAGAACGGGAAGAATCCAAAGATGGAGAACCACCAGGTGGGGCTGAGGGGCTCAGCTCCATCAGGCTGTGGGCCTTGTCTAGCCCATGGTTCAGCGCCAGTAGGGCCTTCTTAGCCAGGGCAGGGCTGTCGGGCAGTTTCTCCACCAGAGGTCCTGAGTGGACCCCCTCAATCAGCCGGTGGCTGCCATTGGAAGTCATGGTATTGAGAGCCTCATCTGCAGCACGGACCATCTGAGGAGGCTTGGGGGCCATACGCTGGCGATCACTCATGTGGAGGGAGGACTCCGAATCGGAATGGGTCAAATCCCTGCAAAACAGAGAGGAAGAAAGGGACACACACAGGAAGGGGGAACAGGGAGGAAGTTGAAAGGAGAGAAGGACAACATGAGAAGACAGGGCAGGATAGGAAAATGGGGATGGAGAAAGGTACAGGAGAAATAAAATAGGATGAACAGGCAGGTAGGAAAGAGTAGAATGAGAAACAGAAGGAAGATGAGTAGGCCATCAGTACAGGATGAGAAAGGAGGCAGGAATAGGAAATGGGGATAGATTGGAGAAGAGGGGAAAGAGAATAAAATTGGGGAGGAAGAAAAGCAAAAGGAGAAGCAGGTAGAAAAAACAACCAGGGGGAGAAAAAAATGTAAAAAGGGAAGAGTGATGGGGATAGAAGAGACAGACAAGAAGAAGCAAAAACAAATGTTATTTTATTATCATCTGTCAGGCAAAGGGCTTTCTAACAGCTGGGCCCCACCCTGATGAATGACCAGGCCCTAAACTAGGGCAACCATAGGCTTCAATCCCATGGGCATCCTCCTCAATAACTTCTCTGCCTTCCCAGAGCTGGCTACATTTCTTAAGACTCAACTTCAAGCTAACATAAAACCCACATCTTGCTCTGAGTCACCATCTTCCATGCCTTTCTTCCCCACTTACTCCTGTCACACCCTTGGACAGAGCCAGTCTGGGCCAGGCCCCAAGAAACAGGGCACATGCAGTAAGTGGGCCTGACCCAGGCTGGGGAGGAGATGGTTAAAACAGCCTTGCAAACAATCCCTTACTCACCCCAAAAGGCCAGGATTCTGCCTCTTTCAAACGTTTTACAAGATTCAAAGGGGGTTGCAGAAAAGTGTTCCAGAGTTCAAACCAAAGTCAGCTGGCAGCAGGAAGGGTGGGGTCTTTTTCAGAGCTCTGCTGACAGGGTGAATGGAGGGAGGTGCTAGAAAGACAGGATGTTGTCCTTTAAGGAGCAGTTGTTCAGAAGAGCTGTATACTAGAAGTCATGAGGTCTAATTAGATTAGAATCTCTGCCTGAGGCTTGGACAAGTCATCTAACCTTGCTGGTCCTCAATTTGGGCCAATTCAATTATCTTGCAAGACTCTTTGGAAGATCAAATGATGTTGGCAAAGCACTTGGAAATGTAGAAAGTATTGTGGGAATGAAGATGATAAGGCCAGGCAAGCTAGAAGACTCATATGTGGGCTAGTCACAAAAGGCTTCTTTGCAAGGCTGAGTTATGGGGACATGGCACTGCACGCTGGACATGCACACACAGAGGCTAGTCCAGAAAGTTGAGACCCTTTTAGGGGCTGGCTACTCCTAAGAAGGCCATGAACCAATTCCAGATGCTACCCTTCCTGTCTCTGCAGACAAAAGGGTGGATATGGGAGTCCCCTGCCAATCCAATAACCTTCCTTCTGCTTTCTCAGAGGCTTGAAAACCCACCATAGAGGCAGAGGAGAGGGCTAAGGGAAATGCTTAAACATCCAAGTCAGGAAGCCAAAGGGAA